GATTCCCTTTACTTTAATATTAAGTAAGTACCTAAGCGTAAGCATGGATATCTGATGGCTCGCCTGATCACAGAATGTGGGGGAGCTCATTATCAATTTAAATTCTATAATCCATAGACATTACTATCCATGTCCACCTATAGTGACATTTCCTTGGCATTTTCCAAATCAACTTCCTATACATTGGGTTAAATTACTCAATGTTCCATCCACAACAACCAAAAGTTAGAACTGCTAGCCACATTATCACAGAGTGAATGTCATCCTGCCTCTCCCCTAGCAGGATGCATAGAAAAGATACAGTTCTGTTTAAAATACAACCATCCCATGCCCTTATTTAATTCAGTTCCTGATGCACTTACTGATGGAAAACAGGATTATGCCAGTTTGGTTTCTAGGTTTAAAGTACTTTGCAGACTTGTTAAGTTTAGCTGTAAATAATATCCCTTTGGTATGCCATGTTTAAAAGTTCCGTGCTACAGAAACAGATGATGCTTTCACTGTGGTTAATGTAAAATGAGCAAAGGGACAGATTTAAACTTAGGAAGATTAGGAAGATAAGGGATATAAACAAAAGAGCTTTGCTTTGCTAACCTAAAAATAGGAATAAAAAGGTGGAATGGAGCCTCAGGATTGTAGTAACCATGCTCATTCTATTCTTCATGGAAATAGCTTGCCTCAGATAGGTCCAGTCAAGGCATCAGGCTTTCTGTAGAGTATCTCACATTTCTTTTCATCTGAAAATTACGTTCATGCAGATGTTGTGTTTCTTATGATGGAGAGTCTTTCAAAGGGGAAAAGTGGTTTTCTTTGTGTCAAGTGTAATCAACTGAAAGTAGGGAAGGAATCCTTGCAGCCTGAAATCTTATTTGCTTGCATTAAGTTGGCTTTCTCGTATATCTTTCAGCAAGAAAAGCAGACTGTATATCCATTTGGTGATGTAGAAATGGAACTTTTTTTTCCAGTGGTATGATCGCATGAGAACTTCTACCCGATCCTTTTACTGTGCTTTTTATCTTATTTTTTTTTCCTGCAGTGTTTCTGAAAGGTTGTATTCTTCTGTTAAAATGATTAGTGCTTTAAGTGAATGAGATCACTTACTGAAATAAAAATCCATCCAAGCCATATTCTCATACTGTGATCTCATACAGGCTCAGCCTCCTGAAAGGCCCCTCGAGAGAGTTTGCAAAAATCTTCATCCAATTGTATGCAATTCCAGCACATAGAGGAAGCATGTTTGACAAAATCCGGTTTTTTTTTTTAAGGTGGGGAGGCAGATGCCAAAAACAATATAAACCCACATGTGCCTTAATATAGACAGCTGTCTTCCAAAATAATCTCTCTCTGTTGTCCATGGAAAACTCATGGTGCATGAAACAAGCACCGGAATCCTTATGTAATCCTCACTTTCCTTATCAAGAAAGATGTAAGATGTTCAGACTGGACGCTGGCTCTGTGCTGACACTTACGGGGCATCTAGGGAAATGACTTCCTCTCAGCTTCTCTTGGCCTCAGAGCATGTGGATTCTTAACTCTTTTGACTTACATGCATTTTGATTTCCCAGTCCTAAAATATAACTAGGAGCAGTCACTCCTGAGTATGACTTCAATTCAAACTAGTTCCAAAATGATCTTGACAATGAGCAATAAAGTGATTGTGTTTGGCTATTCTGCAGAGTCACTGTAAAAATACTGCTGACTTTTTTTTAAGTTCTTTTGCAGTCCTCCCTTCTTTCCTTGTCAGTTTTAATTTTCATAAAATTTCTCTCTCTCCTCTTTTCCCATGCTCTCACTTCCTCCCCTCAAACTCTGCACAACAAAACGATGCAGTTTTTAAAAATTATTTTTAAGTTCTTTGTTGTACACGTATGCTCATATGTGCAGGTACACACATGTGCATATTTGAGCATAGATCAGAAGACAACCTCAGTTGTCATTCTCATGCTCTTTACCTGTTTTTTTTGTTTATTTGTTTGTTTGTTTTGAACAGGGTGTCCCTTTGCCCTGGGCTGTACCAAGCAGGCAGGTCTGGCTGGCCAGTGGACCCCTGGGATTCATCTCTACCTCATCAACTGGGATTATATTCATACACCACTGCACCCATCTTTTTAAAATGTGGTTTCTAGGTGTGAAACTCAAGTCCTTGTGCTTGCAAAGCAATCAATTTATGCCTCCAAATCTAAAACTCACTTTTGAATGAGGTGAGATTTGGAGTAAGTAAAATGCATAAATCTTAAGTGCGAAAATCCATAAAACTGGATAAAACATGTCCTTGTAACTACTATCTTGAGACAGACTATCTCTAGCACTCAAGAAAATTACTGTGTCCTTTTGTTAACAACTTTGCCGGCTGCAGGCAAGCATTGCTTTTATTTTTATGGGCAAGGATTAGCTGTGCTTACTTTGGAAGTTCTTGAAGAATAGTACCATATAGGGCTGGGAACAATTGCACAATATACATAAGGCCCAATACTCAGTCTGCATCACTCCAAAAAAAAAAAGCAGCAATGCATACAATGTCTATATTTTTTTCCTAGTTCTATTTAACTAATTCAATGTTTTTGAAATTCACCACATATAATCAATGCAGACAGTATTCCAAGGTGTGACTATTACCTAATGTGGGACTTATCTCTTGTTTTTGAATCTTTGAATTAATCCTAGATTTTTTTAAGAATAAAAGAGAAATGAAAAAAGAAATCGATGCTTTCTTTTAGATATATGTTGTCATTTGTTCTAGGAAAAAAGAAACAAAATAATTGATAAGTTTAACTTTATTAAGAAAAATAAGAAGAGCAGCTAAAGTGTTTTCCAAAACTGTTGCGCTATTTTACACATTCACTAGAAATGTGTGAAAGTTCTGATTTTTCCATACTTTGGGAGCTATCACCATTCTTATTCTAGTTATTGTAGTGACTGTCAAATTCCATCACATTCTGGTTGCAAATTTGTTAACAATAAACAACACTGACAATGCTTTTATATTGCTTTTGGCCAATAACAGACTTTTTAATGTAGGAAGGAACTGTTTCATGAATGTTTGTAGAGACATACATAGATCTACATAGGAAGTAGAAAAAGACAAGATCTCCTGAGTAAATTGGGAGCATGAGGACCTTGGGAGAGGGTTGAAGGGGAGGGGAGATGCAGGGAGGGGAGCAGAGAAAAATGTAGAGCTCAATAAAAACCAATAAAAAACAAAAAAACCAAAAAATAGTCAATAACAGCATGAAAGAGGTTCAGTATCACTTGCTGCTTAGAACATACAAACTAAATCCACAGTGAGAAACTGGTATATAATACTAGAATGACTAAAGTCAAATACAGAAGGAATGGTAAAACAATATGAACAGATGTACTATATGTGGCTTATAGGAATGCAAAATCATAAAGTCAATTTTAAAAATACTCATATATTTTCTACGGAGTTATACATAAACTTAGGATAGCTCACCATATATGTGTGTAACTAACTGAAAGTAAGGACAGCAGCAGACTTGTGGTTATGGGGCCACAAGGACAAAGTACCTTGAGGGGGATGGAAACTCGTAGGAGACTGTGGGACTTGTAGCATGTGACAATTAGTGTTCATATATCAGTGCACCAGAGGAAAGGTTCTGTGATGGGGGAGAATCCCATCCATGGAGGGCCGATGAGAACACCAACTTTGAAAATTGTTTCTCATGTCTATAGTTTCATATTTGCTAAAGCAATTGTGCTGTCTCCCCAATAACTGCACTGTAGTGTGTGATTTCATATGATATGTATGGATAATCTCATGATTGCTCCTCAATCTATAGGTACATATATCTGTGCATGGTTAGGAAAATGACTTTTCATCCATTTGTATAACTTTGATTTATAGAAAATATACTAAGATATACTTCATAACTAGATTTATTGTCCCACAAGAACTGTACGACACTTAAATGCCTGCTTTGTTCCTTTCACTCGAACGAACGTAAGGAAACAACAATTTCTCCCCAGTCTAAGACAAACCACACACAATTAGCTCATTTTTACCTCAAAGCAAGTTCAAACTAGACTGCAAATGGATCATAAGTTAAAAACTTTACAGATATGTACAAGGTCCGAGGTATAGATACATAATCAAGGTCATTCACACAAAACAACCAAAGATTCAGGCCAGTTCTTTGCTTGCCATGTCTGGTTGATAAAGACCTATGTCTTGCAGCTTGTCTCACTGAGGGCGGTGCTCCTGGCCTCTGCTTACAGTCTTACACGGGAAAACTTGAAACTTTCTGTTTGCCATAGTAAATGGCTCTGCCCTTACATTTACGTCAGCATTGTTCTATGGCCAGTGAGATGCAATTCTTGTAATTTTTTTTCTTATTATCTCAAACCTCCTGTAAAAAGTATATTTAATCCAGGTGAACAAATAAGCAAGGGGAGAATTGAAACAAAGGAGAACTAGAAAGAATTAGTACTTAGAAGAATATTAGAGGACAAAAAATATACAGAATAATAAAGAGCATTACCAGAACAGAATTGTATGAATTTATTTCATACCCCTCAGATAGAACAAAACTCAAGTTCAGTTAACTATTCTGTGAGTTTTTCTTTGAACCCTGAAAGTAGCCTTAAGAGCTGGTCTCTATGGCTACTAATAGAAACTGTCCATGTTATAACTGTAGTTCTGGTACTTCATTAATATCTTCTTTGATCAAACTCATTGATCATATATCAAACGTATATCCTTTGTAATGAATGAATTTTATTATATGCAGAGTTATGACTTGAAATATTTACTTCTAAGATTGTAGACTACACATCCTAAGGAAGTGATTAAACAGCGAAGCAATCATACTAACACTAAAGAAAGAAGAATTTCTGAAAACTAGACTTGAGACCTTGACTTACTTCACCAAGATCAGCAACAAAGTAGCCTCAAGATCTTCCTGTTAAAGGCACATGAATTTTAACAGAATGTGGGTAAGGTGGATAGAGGAGTAACTCTAGGAGGTATATATACCTGGAGTCATGAAGGTTTGCTGATGAAATGTCAGAGATATCACGAAGTTCATAAAGAGAGTCAGAGCTACTCTTGGCCCAGAGAAGACATTGCCATGGGGTGACCTCATACCTGGAAGGAGAGAGAATTGTACTTTTGTTATCACTGTGAACCTTCTCTGATCCTGAGAGTTTCCTGTTTATACAATAATACATTTCCCAGTGTTAATGTACCTTATATGTGAGAAACTTTCCACAGGAAGTACTGGGTTCAGATTTGTGGCACACATTTAAAGCTCCCAAAGTCTTATAGCAATAGCTCATATCTGTAAACAGTTTAGCAATGGTCAATATTTCCACTAAATACAATCAAATGGCAAACAATTGACTTACATCTACATAACAGGGCAGTTGTACATGTGAAGCCATAGCAGTTATGCCAGCATTCGCAAGACAAGTGTAATCACAAGGCAGATGAAATTTCATCATGGAAGGTGTGGGGAAGAAGTCTAAACTCTGTCTCAAGAGCTACTGACAATTGACATCTGCAAGGAAAGGGAAAATTAGTTTTCTTTAATGGTATACCCCCCATTATATCACAAATTGGATTTGATGTGTTTTTATAAAAAGACAAAGGTTTTTATGGGTAGGAAAAGAAGATGGAACTGACAAAGGTTGGGACTAGGGGAATGACTATGAAGAAAATATATTGTATGAAATTTTCAAAGAGCTAATAAAAACGTGAGCGAAAAAGGGAACTTACGTTATATAGACATCGTCAAGAGCCAATCAAATTCTAGGAAACTGGGACAAGAATAATGTTAATGAATTTGACAGCAGCTCATGCTAGAGTTGGGTTGAAATTCTAGAAATTTCCAACCTTAGTATAATGCTTATCCTGGTGTACATATAATATGATTTACAATAACAAATACACTATATGATCTGAACTATCCAGTAATTGTAGATGTTCTCTACCGAATTGAGGGCTAGCTAGTTTGGTACAGTCTTTATCACAGGCAATAAAGGAGAATTATGATAAGAAACCTGCTTCCAGGTTTCGAGGAGGGCACTGAAAGCATATTCAAACAAGGCTGCCCTTTTATTTCAAACATTCATGAGCTACATTGTGGTCTAACTCAAAACGTCACAAAGTGGCTATTGATCAGTTGACTAAAATTTTACCTCCTTATGAACCCTCGATTAAGGTTTAGTGACGGGCTTCACCACACCAAACCTACCTATCTTCTTTATTAAGAACCTGGAAACCACTTACTAATGCTCCAGTAGAGACAGAGTTATAATATGGGAGCCACTGGTATTGGATCTCTGGGATTCTGATAAAGACTTTTTTAAGAGTTAACTGATAAAATAATATTATTATGTATCTTTTATCTTAGAGTAGACATAACTGTTAGATAACATTGCTGTTAATAAAACCTTTGTCTCCAACTTGAAACTTTCAACTTGAGAGCTGTAAACACTCAATATCCAAGACAGAGGTTCTCAACCTATGGGTCATGACCCATTTGGATGCTGGGTGAGAATTTTATAAGGGTCACCTAAGATCATCTGAAAACAAAGATACTTATGATTCATATTACTAACAAAATTACAGCTATGAAGTAGCAAGAAAAATAATTTTTGGTTTGAGATTACCATAGCAAGAGGAACCATATTAAAGGGTCACATTCTTAAGGATGCTGAGGACCACTGTTACAATGGGAGAAGGGAATGACAATGGATACAATTATATTATGAACTGCATAGATATAGCTAAAATCTTTGCAAATGTATCTGGAAACCTATGAATTTGGGGTCATGGTCAAGATATAATAAAATTACTATCAGATAGTTACCTTATCCTGTGCCATACCCAGGTCCTGCTATTTTCTGAGCTTAGCAAAGAAAATACCAGCTCACTAGTGAATTATGATAGGGTCAAGGGAATCTCACATAATACACTGATGTGAATACTACAGTTGGTGAGGGGCAATAGCTCATGAATTGCTATAACTATTTCTTGGCAACACTTTCAGATAATTGTCCAATTGCCTATGTTATTAAATATTTTAATTGCAAATGAAAACAGGGAAAAAAGGTTTTAATGTTCCTTATTGAGAAAATTCAGATCATGATGGTAGACGTGATGTCATCACTGCCCTCAAAGCTCCTTATGACCTCTCTTTGTTCATGTGGCCCCAGTACCCTCACTGTGACTTTTTCCATAGGCCCTTTATCATGATCACATTATTTAAGTCAGGACAACTCCTTAATTATCTCAGTCATGTTGCTTTTTTTGTTGTCAAATGAGATTTTTTTTTCCTCTTTGTACTGAAAGCTAAAAATTCTGGTAAATGGCAGGTGCTCAAATTATATTTGCTGAATGCATGAGCAATGTACTGGTAGACAGGCCTGGCAGATGCACAGAGCACAGGTTAGGATTCGCAGATGAAATTTTGCTTAGTTGTATGTGTGTGTGTGTTTGTGTGTGTGTGTGTGTGTGTTTCCCTCAGAAATAGAAAATATAAAACTCTATTAATCCTTCTACCATGAGCATATGATATGCATTACATTCTGCATAGCTGAGAAAACGTGTTTAGGAAAATGAATTTATCTTCCAATAAAATTTCAGCTCTTGCACACTTGCTAGAGTTTGACTGCGAGAGAAAAGACAATGAACCTGATTTCCCGGAATCACATTAATTTCTCAGGATATGAGTGAAAGGTTGAGAGTTCTGCAGTCTAACAGTCCTACAGGCAAACCTGTGACAGTTGTAGACATGTTTTCCTTCCTTTCATCTCCACCTTACAGTAGGTAGGGCAACCAGAGACTTACTCTCAATGGAAGCACTTTAAAGCACACTTTCTCAAAATCAAACTCAACCTCTTCTCCTTGACCTTCTCAATCATTCCACCTATTCTATTGGTATAAGGAAATTAAACTACTGACAAATTTTTCTAAAAAAAAGTAAAATTAAACAAAAGAGTCATGTAGTATTCCTATTACCCACACATTGAAATCAAGCATAGGATGGCTAAAAATGAGAAGTAATTATTTCCAGAAAAAAATCAAGCAACCTACCAAGTCACTGATCAAGAAAACAAAGAAAACTTATACCACCAAAGCCCTTTCCCAAAGGGTAAACACATCTATTCACCCATTCTGACAAAGTCATGAAAAGCATCCTTTGTATCCTCAAAACAATCTTAATTTGAACAGTAACTTGGTATCAACCTACTTATGATCTGTAAATACCTATTGATCTGGAAATTCAGACACTTAAATACAAGTAATGATAAAATGTATTCCTTCATGTTGTTTATGTTGGCTTTGTTTGCTGTTTTTTCAGCGTTTTCTGGAAATGGATTACCCTGAAATCTCAATTAATAACACCAACTCTTCCCTATATGTTTTACTGTGGTTGTCATAATTAGCTTCAGCTGTCAATTGAGCACAAACGTAGAGTCACCTGGGAAAACTGAAACTCAGTTGGAGAGTTGCCAAAGTCAGTTGCCAAGTCTGTGGGTGGTACCATCCCTAGTCAGCTATGTAGCTGCATGTGAGTCTGAGAATAAACCAGAATGCAGTGTTACCATTTCTCCTTCATTGGTTTTTGTTTCGAATTCCTACACTGTTGGAGTCCTTTCCTTGACTTCTCTCAATGATGGATTATGACCTAGGAGTTCTAAAAATGAAGTAAACTTTGCTTCCTGGTCTGTCTTTGGCCGTGGTATTTATTACAGCGATAGAAAGCAATGTAGAGCCAAACTGGCTTCTCCATAGGTAGTCTGGGCTACCGTCAAATTCATTTTCCGGATCAAGAAACTGAAGAATTTAGAGAAAACTTTCAGTAAGTGACAAATTGAAGTTTTAGCCAGGCCTGACCTTGAGATTGAACCCTATCTGCAATGCTGCCTGCCTCTAAAACCAGTTTTCATGTCTTGTACAGAACATGTTTACTGTCTTACAGTTCAAACGCCACAAGTTAGATATGAATTTTTCGTGGACTAAGAGCAAGACTGGTTCCGCCTACCCTCCGAGACCAAGAGAAGTGCGGTGAACTGAGATGACCCTGACCGTGATGTTTTCAGGAAGCTTGTAAGTTTGTAGAAGTGTTTGAAACTTTGAAATTCGTTGTTTAAACTCTTGAATTCTCAGGGATAATGAGCTGTTGTTCTGTTGGAGCCTAAAAGATAGGAATACTGAGACTAATGCAGACAAAATGCAGAGAGATGCCAACAACAGGAACAAACAACAGGAACATAACTTGTGACGTTTAAAGGGAAGGTTTGAGAGTCTCTCAAAGGCTCTATTGTGCCACCGGTGTAATATATTTGAATTAACAGTCTGTGGAAGTGAAACCATTTTTGCTTTACGGCAACAACGGACATAGGTCAGCTAGGGCTGAGAAGTCAGCTATCACTAATAAGAGACCAGCGTCATTAAGGCAAATTCTTCTGGAAAGCGTTTTCTTGAGGTCAGCATACAGAAGCTGTGGTCAAAGGAGCCAAGGCTACATGTCAGCCAAACTTGGCAATACTTGTGAGACTGTGACGTTCATAGAGAAAAGTTCAAGTCTGGATCCCTCTGGCATGTTTGCAGTCCCCAAGGAAAGACACGGAGAGGCCATTGGTGAAGCTATAGCCTCAGTTGAAGTGGAGACCCCAAGATATTAGAGATGCCAGAACTGAGGAACTGGAATGTCAGCCAAGGACAGCAGCAGGTATGGGGTAGATCTGGCTTGAGCCTCCATGAAAAGCTGTGTTTGCTCACAGAGGCTGGAGCTACAGAAATTGGACTGTCCAAGCCTTTTGGAACCCAAAAGATCATGACTAAGTCCTATGTGTCAGATACTGAGCTACAGGATTTTGGAACTACAATGCTAGACGCTGGTTTTGCTTAAGTGTGATCATCCTTATGGCTTAGTGTTTCCTTTTTAGTGAAAAAAAAAAAGCATGCAACATATTTTTGAATTTTGTCACTCTGGAATTATAAGCCAATATTAATTTCACCCATAAGTCACTTTGGTCATGGAGTGAAGAATTTGTATACGTTGCTCTATTATAAATAAAAACTTAGGAGTTAGCTATTGGGATAAAAACACGATATATAAAGAAAGCAGTGTAGCAATAGACAGCTGACTCTCTCTCTTGTTTCCAAGATCAAAAAGGCCCACACATTCTTCTAAGAGACCTCTACTCTTTTTTTTTTCTTTTTTGTCTCTCTATTATATCATAAATAACTACAGATAATTCCAGTCAGGTATTTGCTGACCTGCCCCATAATTCAAAGCTAACTTTTTCACTATTCTCAGAGTGTCACAGTGTGATCAAATATCCCACACATTTACCCCTTTTGTCTAAATAAAAAGGAAAGGGTTTAGCTATAACAAAGTAAAATCATATACAATTATTGGGAAAGAATTACATTTACAATGTCAGTCTATTTGGATGTGGCAAACACAGAGAAAGTTCTCTGTTATCTGTTTTATTTTGGTGAGTTCCAAGTTTTGTGTCTATCGTATCTTGTATTACCATCCTACAAATATCTTTTTAGACCTTAAAACATTTTCTTCGACAAACAACTTAAGCTTTTTTGTCTCTCAACCTTATAAACTTTACATCTCTTTTGTAAGTCTCTTTTCTGAACTTGGTATCAAAGGAAACATTATAACTATCGAGTTTTTAACCCCATCAGAGACCAAAGAAAGATAAAACATTATCTAAGCGAACAGGAAGTGCAGAACAGATGACTTCCCAAACCGTAAATGACAGAGACTGCTGGCTACCTGAACAGTCACCTAGGATTCTCTGCAATGTTGGTCAACCATCTTCAGCCTACAGCCCTGGAATATCTGACAGCCATTTCTGTATTGCAGAAATTTTGAAGGAATTTTCTACCTATCTTGGCAAAGTTTGGCAGTCACCTTCTTTTGTGTTCTACTTGTCCAATTTACACAGTGTACTCTTAACAGTTGAGTCAAGTATTATTTCTTGCCCAGTGACTAACTTTGCCACAAATGAAAGCAAAGTCTATACCAAAGTTCTTCAATGCAGATCATTTTCTCTGAGCCAGGAGTAGATGTATCTCACTGTCATAAAAAAGTTTTATGTTATTAAAACATTTTTAAAAGCCATATTCTGTAGGTTTCTGCAATGTTTGAAGACTACCTGTCTACCCAAAATATATCTCTGTTTACCCTTGAAAATATGCCTAACATGACTACAAGTTTGATTTTTATAGATAACTAACTACTAACTTACATTTAGAAATTATCCTAAATAGTTTCTAATAATAGCTTTAAAGGACTAGAACTTCACATTACATTTTAAATAGTATGCATATGTATATTACATTAAACAAAAGTAGAAACATATACATAGTATGCAACAATATAATAGTCTTATATTTGTATCAATATACAAAGAATAATTTTTGTTTGTTTGTTTTTAGAGACAGGGTTTCTCTGTAGCTTTGGAACCTGTCCTGGAATTAGCCCTTGTAGAACAGGCTGGCCTCAAACTGACAGAGATACACCTGCTTCTGCCTCCCATGTTCTGGGATTAAAGTTATGTACCAGTTACAAAATTACTTTAAAAAAGAGTAGAAATATATACACAATTAAATGAAAAAAGTTTAATGTATAATATAAACAATCAATACCAAAGTAAAGTATTTGAGATTAATAGTTGTTTTTAGTTTAAAAAGAGATTCAACAATCTACCTTTTTATCCTATCATTCCGATATCCCTCTGTTTTTTTTTCTTTTCATAAAGAGATCCTTGATTCCAACCTCTTAATTTAGATTGAATCGCCATGCTATTTGATGAACTATTGCCTGATTTAATCAAGAGGTCTCTGATGTATGAATCTAATCTTGATCAGTCTTGCTGGCTTCCATACCTTTTCTTCTCCTGTGGAAACAAAACCTAAATCTCTTTCCCAACATACAACATAGACTAGTTTTCATTCTGAGGTCAAGACCTCAGATTTTTTTCTGATTATACAGGAGATATTATTTAAATTTAAATTATACAGATGATTTAATCGAGCAGTTTTTTCTACTATTCAGTGTCTCGCCACAGCTGTTGTTCCTTTTTCAAAAGCATTTAGAAAAATTTAAGTAAATAAAGCTGTGTGCAGTTTATCTCTGGGGATCTTTATTACCCTTTTATGTTTTTTTTTATTTTTATTGAACTCTCCATTTTTCTCTGCTCCCCTCCCTGCCTCTACCCTCCCCGCTTCAACACTCTCCCAAGGTCCCCATGTTCCCAATTTACTCAGATCTTGTCTTCTTCTACTTCCCATGTAGATTAGATCTATCTAAGTCTCTCTTAGTGTCCTCATTGCTGTCTAAGTTATCTGCGATTGTGGTTTGTAGGCTGGCTTTCTTTGCTTTATGTTGAAAACCTATCTATGAGTGAGTATGTGTGATAATTGTCTTTCTGTGTCTGGGTTACCTCACCCAAAATAATGTTTTCTAGCTTCATCCTTTTTATGTTTTTTAAACGTATCTTTTATAAGTGAATTAGATCTTTATATAACTGCTTTAGTAATTTTTTTTTCTTTGCAGTTGTGGGTGCTCTTGTATTTGGGACATAGCTGTTCAGAATTGAGACTTAATCTAGATAGATTTTCCTGTGATGAGTATGAAGTGTCCCTTTCCTTTATTTTCCTGTTTGATTTTAGTTTGAAGTCTATTTTTTTTAGGTATTTGGCTTCTATTTTGTTAGCTACAACTGCTTGTTTCTTAGGTCCATTTGATTATAAAATATTTTTCCAACTCTTTACTCTGTGATAATGTCCATCTTTGAGGTTGAGGTGTGTTTCTGGTATACAGCAGAAGGTTGGATCCTGCTTTTGCATCCATTCTTTTAGCCTTGTGTTAAGTCCATTGCTATTAAGAGATATTAATTACCAGTGATTATTAATTCCTGTTATTTGTTGGTGGTGGTGTTTCCATGTTTTCCTTTTTTGGGGTTTGCTGGTGGGAGGTTATCTGTTGCCTGTGTTTTTGTGGGTGCTGTTAGCTTCTTTGGTTGGAGTTTTCCTTCTGGTATTTTCTGTAGGGCTGGATTTATGGATAGGTATTGCTTAAAACTGGTTTTTTTTTCATAAAATATCTTGGTTTTCCCTCAATTCTGATTGAAATCTTTGTTGAGTATAGTAGTCTGGGCTTGCATCAGTGGTCTCTTAGTGTCTACCGCACATCTGCCCAGGATCTTCTGACTTCCATGATTTCCATTGAGAAGTTGGTTATAATTCTGATGGGTCTGGCTTTATATGTTACTTGAGGGCCAAGATTTATCATCAAATCCAAACTGCCTTTGGAAATCAGCAAGCTGGCCTTCACAAAGAAACTAGCCCTATCTTCTTCTTTCCACCATGTAAATCAGGACCAGTTTCAAATATTGCTGTAGATAAATGCTTCCATTCTTGGGGAATAATTTTGTTCTGAGTTGCCCATGAATTTCACATCTGCTTCATACAGGTTGAATGCATAGCATATGAAATGACTGCTTCCTTAAACCTCCTCAAAGCTAACATTTAAACAGAGTTCCAGTTAGCTTCTGCATAGCCT